GATGATGTCAACCAGGAGCGGTTCACGGCCAGAATCTCCGCTCCGGACCACCGTGGCTGCCGGCACTTCAAGTCTGCCGGCAAGCGCAACCCGGTTTTCCGGGTAAACCGGCTGCTGGTCGGCGCCCACCGGGTGGCCTACACGCTGGCTCACGGCGCCATACCAAGCGGCGGAAGAGTACTGCGCCGCTGCCGCACATTGTCCTGCGTCAACCCTCAACATCTCTATCTGGTTGGTTCTCCAGCGGAACCGGCCCCAGGTCCCGTGGCGCCCGGTGCCCTGGCCCTGCTTGACGACACCGTTCGGTCGGCGATTGACGACAGCCGGAGCAGCAATACCCGGCGGACCTACCGTTCCCAGTGGGGAGTCTTCACCGCCTGGACCAATGAACTTGGACTGACTGCATTGCCGGCAACTCCCCATACAATTGCCCGGTACCTGGCCGCCCGGGCTGAGGCTGGCAGTTCCAACTCCACCCTGCGGGGGGCCTGCGCCGTGATCGGCGCCGCTCACCGGGACGCCGGCCTGGAAGACCCAACCAAGGTCCAGGCAGTCAGGATGGTACTCTCGGGCCTGACCAGGCGAAATCCCAAACCGGTAAACCAGGTCAGCGCACTGTTGGATTCAAACATGGATGCCATTATTGCCACGGCTCTGTTCCCGAGGGCTGGACGGGGTGGCAGGACCGAATCCATGGAGTACGCGCGCCGGCGTGGACTGGTGGACGTTGCCCTGGTGTTGGCAATGCAGAATGCCGGTCTGCGGCGTTCGGAAGCCGCCGCATTGACCTGGGGCGATGTCGAAACCTGGGAGGACGGAAGCGGCCGAATCACCGTTCGCCGTTCCAAGACGGACCAGTTCGGGGTTGGCGCCGTGGTAGCGATAACTGCCAGGGCCATGAATGCGGTCGATGCCATTCGTCCACCGGACTCAGCGCCGGACAACCCTGTCTTTGGACTGTCAGAGTCCGGTATCTGCCTGCGCATCAAGAGCGCGGCCAGGGCTGCCGGCCTGTCTGGCAGATTTGGCGGCCACAGTGGGCGGGTGGGAATGGCCCGAACCATGATCTCCAAGGGGGCGCCAACGCCGGTGGTGCAGCGGCAGGGACGTTGGCAGTCTGCCGGCATGATCACCAGTTACACCCGAGCCGAGGCTTCCGGTGAGGCCCTGCGCTGGCTATGAAAGGTTTGAAATGCCTCGGTCGCGCTGAAAACGGCTGCGTCTGAGAGCCGATTTAAGGCCCTTGTTTTTGAACCACCCGGCTAAACCTGCCCGAAAGCCGAAACTCAACCCTAAAAAATGGCCGACAGAGGCCTCCCACGCGGAAACTAGTTTGACGCTACGATTTTCAAGCCCATAAAGCACAGTTTGGAAAGGCATAGAGCCGTCTAATACCCTGGAAAAAAGCGAAGTTGGCTCAACGGACAGGCGGGGAAAGCCCTGATAATGATTGTCCAGCATTACCAGCCATTTATCATGGGGAATCTTTCGGAAATCGGACACTAATGCAAAATGCCCTCCCCGATGGTTTTGCTGGTCGTGGCATCGACCATCTACGAGGATCAAATCTGGCAGCTTCATCCCAACTGTTTTCGTCTAGACTAAAACGGCTGCCCAGGTTTGAAGTTGTAGATTCTCCTTCCGGAAAGCCGGCCTGGCAGCCGTAGAACCCCGGGCTCACAGAAAATTGGAGTTGATCTGTTGTGAGCGCCAGGGTTTGAACTGATTCCGCCGCCTAGCCTATGTTCATCAGCATTAACAAGCGAATCCGGCGGCTTCACCCCGGTGCCCCTGAATACCTGCTGTACCATCCGATGATGGGAATACATCATGGACCCGCCGACCGACACACACGGCAATACCTCGCGTTGCTTCCATTGCCAATGCGCTTCACCGTAGCTCATCCTCAAGTCCGTCTCCGTAGCGTCACTTGCCAGGAAATATTATTAGTAAAGCACCAGTGGGGGCCGCCTGGTCCGGATTTTCGCATGAACTGTCTGAATCTTCCTTCACTGGCGGCGTTGCGTATGCTCAACCGGTATCCAACCATTTCGCACGGGTCTCGTCAATTTGGAACTCAAGTCACCAAGAAAACTTTAGAGACTTTTCTTGGCAATACGGCTAAGTCATGAACAGAAATAGGGTACCGCCGGTGTCAGGGTCCACCTCATCCCGCAAATTGATCTCGTCGCCTTTGGCTTTTTAATTGGCCATCAATTCGTTGATAAGCGCTGGAAGTGTGGCTGCATTAGTGGCCTTGAACACGTTAAGGCAGAGCAGCCAAACCCTGGTTAAGTACATTCGCTCTTCCAAACCATATTTAATAATAGAACAATGACAACGTTTAAACAGCTAAATAATTAGCTGGGGCAAATCTTCTTGAACGGGGGAATTGCACTCAGAGGGGTCTCTGCGATTATTTGGGAATGGTAAACTTATATGTGTAGTTGCCTATGTAACTATTACAACATTTAAAAGGTAATATAATTGACCAATTAAACAGTAAGAATGCAATTGGATCCAGGCCGAACGCCAGTCAGTTGATGGGTCGCTTCCACCAGAAATGAATGCCAATGTTGGCTAAACCAATACCCAGGTGGTATGTGCATTTCGGGGAGCTTGACGATGACAATGACCGAAAGGACTCCACGGCACCTCATATCACCTTTAAGCCCCAACTGGGTGGGCACCGATAGTGCGGTCTAGCGATATGTACATTTCACCTTGGCTTTAGTTTAGGTGCCCTTGAGGGTCCCGACAGAGAGTCAAGTGGCAGCCCTAGTATTACAACGACGGTTCAAGGAGGGATGCTTGGGCAGGAGCCCCGGGCCGCGCGGCGTTTGGCGTGAGACCGACTGGCTGGCTCGCTCGTTGCATTCTTGCGTCTGCTTCAGCCACCGCAGCAGTTCAGCCGGCCCGAACCGTTCCCGGGGCAGCATCTCCCGCACCACCCGGTAGACCTGCGGTCTCGTGATCCGGGGCATCTGTAAAAGGCGGAGGTAAAGTGGACCACGTGGGCGGCTCTGCTGGCTGATTTATGGCTGTCGAAGTGCAGGGGAAATGTCCGTCCGAGTGTCCAGGAGAAATGTGCATGGGTTACTCCGGAATGGTATCAGATTCAGGGTCCGAGAGAATGGCCGGGGTCCGACGCATCGGTGGGCTTTCGGCGTCAATGCATCGCCTGACCGTGTCCCGGTGCATTCCCAACTCCCTGGCCATGCCACGAATTGACAGGCCCTTCCGCTTGGCCTCCTGCACAACCTTCCACCTCTCCCTCTGGAGGAAAGTAGGCCTGCCCGCTGGGATGGGAATAGTCATCTTCTCCGGGGCTTCCTCCATTGCGTCAAGTTCACATTCCTGGGATTCGTCTGGGATTTGCCGCAGCGCTTCGGTCACCGCAGCCAGTGGTGTCCCGCGTCAACTATATTTGCCGGTTCCCGTTGCCTCACCGAAGAATGTTACCAAAAGCTCAGCACTTGGGATTGCTTTCAAGCAGCGCCAGTTCCGGCATTGAATGTTCGTCCTATGCAGTTTCGTCGGATACGGGGCAGACCAGTTTCCTCGCCCTTCACCGCCTCCAGGGCCACCTTGGGCTTGATAAGACTGAGGCCGGAACCGATTGGTTCCGGCCTTTTTGTTAGAAGCCAACCCGAAAGGGAGTGCTCCTACCCACAGTTAACGTAGTTCTGTTCGTCGGTTATGCGGCCATAGAGATCGCCGTAGTGGTCGATTATCCAATGCGTGCTGTCTCCTTTGTATTGCCCACTTTCGCAAACACCATTGGAGGTGGCCCACGCCTGGTAATCGTTGCTGTTTTCCGTGAATCCAAGGTCGCCATGTGCTACCCAAGTGCAAACCCCTGCCCAATTGCATTCGGCCTTGTAAAGCAGGATGTACGCACCGATTGTCGGCATGGGGGTGTTACTTGGGCAATCGGTCTTCGCATGCACGTTGGCCCTTCCGGTCTCGCTGGACTTGTGAGAGTAGTGGGTCTTGCCTTTGCAGCCATACGGATTTACCTGTGCGAGGGGCATCAACGGCGACGCCGAACCTTCCGCTCGCCCGCCATCGGAAGTGTTGTTCTCTTCTTCTTCCTCCGTTATCCACTCTGTGAGTCGCCCTTGGCTGGGCTTCTCCTCGTCAACTGAGTTCTGGGACTTCTCCAAGATGTCCGTTCACCCTGGGATTAGCGGGGGTGCTAGCATTCGCTTCCGGCATCGGAGACGCGATCCAGACACCGACAAGGGGCGGCAACCGCCAATATAGAGGTGGCAGCAAGAGCAATAACTTTGTATCTCAGGGGGTTCTCCTTATATTGTCTCTTTGGTACAAGAACGACTGAACAAATTGATAGTTGTTCTTTGTTCACCCCCCTCCACCCTCAGGTGTTGATTGTGTCGGTATAGTGGTCGATTCTTGCATCTTCGGACGCGGGGAATGCTTCCAAGTCGGGGCAATTCAGGATAGCCCCTATGCACTCGTCGCTACCGCCGACGTAAGTATCGTTAAGATCAATCTCTGTGGAGACACACCATCTTCGGCTTGACGGCCACCACAAACTGGGGAACGTCATCATTCTATTTTCGTCGGCAAACTTATAAATGGCTTCTGGTGGTCCCACGAAAGCCAAGTAATTGCGGCCCAAGACCGAAACCTGCGGTATTCGCTCATAGCCCGCGTTTAGGTTGCCATAGCCCTCCCAGATGAGGTAATAGACCTGTTCCTGGGTGGTGAACCCTCCCAAATTCCGGCTAGTTCCCCTGCTACTTCCTCTGTTGGCCTTCCTATGAGGGGTTCCCGAACCCAGTCAAGGGACTGGTTCGGGTCGTCAAGCCCGCAAATCCTAGGAGTCTGTCTGAGAAATAATGCTCTAAACGGTAATCGGTTTCTGCATAGCTAGGTATTGTTACGTTAGATATATGGTAGTATATTACTATAGAAGCGCGTATAACGTAACGCATTTCTCCTCTCAGAACTAATCCTCGGACAGGCTACCAGGAATGAACGCAGCAGCAACCGAAACAGTGAACGAAACGGTAAGTCAGGCCCAGTCAGGCGGCCCCCGGCCGGAGGACATCATCATCTGTCGGGACGTCCACAAGTGGTACGGCGGCTACCACGCCCTACGGGGCGTCACAACGAGAATCCGCCAGGGCGAGACCGTGGTGATCATCGGCCCCTCCGGGTCCGGCAAGTCCACCTTCCTCCGCACCCTCAACCAGCTGGAGGAACACCAGCAGGGCGATATCATCGTGACGGCGTGCTCCTCAACCGCGATACCCGCAACATCGACGCCGTGCGCCGGAACATCGGGATGGTCTCCCAGGACTTCAGCCTCTTCCCCCATATGTCCATACTGGACAACATCACCCTCGCCCCCTGAGGGTCCTGAAGGAAGGCCCCCGGGAGGCACGGGAACGGGCCATGGAGATCCTCAACAGGGTCGGGATCCCCGAGCAGGCCGGGAAGCATCCCCACCAGCTGTCCTCCGGCCAGCAGCAGCGGGCGGCCCTCGCCCGGGCCCTCGCCATGAAGCCCAGGATCATGCTCCTGGACGAGCCGACCTCGGCGATGGACGGCGAGATGGGGGAGGTCCTGGAAGTCATGCGGGAGCTCGCCCAGTCCCGGATGACCGTGGTGGCCGTCACCCACGAGATGGGCTTTGCACGGCAGGCCGCCGACCGCATCGTTTTCTTCGACGAGGGCCAGATCGTCGAGGACCTCCCTCCGGAGGAGTTCTTTCAGAACCCAGGGCACAGCCGGGCCAAGCGGTTCTTGGAAAAGATACTCTAGTAATACAACGACGGTTCATCCGACCGGGTGATTGTCGCGACCGATTTGGACCTGAACCGTACTGCCATGAACGTACCGCGCTTTCTCGCTCGTGGCCGAATACGAAGGATCAGACACCCTATTTGGCAATCCCTCGTTGTAATACTAGGGGCGGTGGGCGAGAATCAGGATACCGTCGGAAACACGGGTCTGAAGGGCCTGGGCTGGCACCTGCAATTACCTGACACAGGCCTTATTTCGTGGACGACCTCTAATGTAATACCCCACTAATAGTGACAAGACCTCGGCAGTTCCTTGTTCAGAACTTCCAAGGCACTCAATCGACGAAGAAAGCCAAGGGTTTCCCAGCTGAGGTTGCAGGGGCAAGTACAAAGCCGGTGCACCGTGTCAGCATGGAGTAACAGCGGTATAGTGGCCCACTGAATAATGGGGTTAGGCTTGCTTCAGTCCAAGGGTTCAGGGTTGTGCAAAAGGAGCACATGCTTAATTTCATGCGGAACGCATTCCACACAGCTCTGGAAGTTCCGGTCATGTCCCGCCTGCTCCACATCCCTTCCGACAAGCGGTTGCTGATCGTAGGATGTGGAGCAGGGTTCTCGCTGGCTTCCTTCGCTAAATTCGAAAAGTTCCGGTCAATCTCAGGGCTGGACAAAGATGCGGGTCTCTTAGCTGAGGCAACAGGACGAATTCGTCACAGGCGAGTAGGTGGTGAGTTGGTCCAGGCCGATTTACAGGCGATGCCTTACCATGACCGCTCATTCGATGTTGTCGTTGACTTTGGCACGTGCTACCACGTGCGTCGGCCTCAGCAGGCTCTTAGGGAAATTGCCAGAGTACTGGATGTTGGTGGAGTATTTGCATACGAGACTCCCCTGGCCCAATTACTAGCACACCCATTAAACTTCGCCAAGAGGCTGCCTTGGGACGAAGAGCCTTCGCTGGCTCCCGGGCCAACGGCGGCTCTGTGGGCTATCAGAAACAAAAGGTTGATAGAGCGTTCCTGAATTATAGCCAAAGTGGAATAAACACTGGCTCAGTGCTTGAGATCGGGATTGGCGTCCTGGAGGAGTTCTTCTGCCCTTGATTGCAGCACGATTCGGCACCAACGTATCTTTCCCCATGCCGGTCGGACGAAGAAGACTCCGATTCTCTGCTGCACCTGGACCCGGGTTCCAAGGTGCACGTTGCGGGTGGCGTCCTTTCTCACTTAGCTCCAAATTGACTCCTCAGCGTTGAGGTCTGGGCCGTGGCACGGCAGGTTCATCAGCCCCATCCTCGGGACAAGCGTGGCGGGATAGCACGGCACCGCCTGGCCACAATGGACCATGGAATTATCCCGGATCACGTGCAGCAGGCTATTACGACGTTCGTTCAATTGTAAAGGCGGGACTTTGTCCGACATATACGCCTATCACCCGCGTCCAGGGTGGCCTCATGCCCTGTGATTAACCACAGAGGAATTTATGAGTGGGTGAGCGGTTGGGACTCGGACACGACCTATCTGGTTCTCCCACGGCGCTTGGCCCGCAGCCAGCGCTCCGTCGCGGACTCGGTCCGCTCCTGGCCCTGCTCCAGGCTACCGGGCTCCCTCATCCTGGATCCGGCACCCTCTTCCTCGGGCCTGGTGATCTGGCCATCCCTCGGTACGGGGGGATTGGTCGTGGTGGATTCTTGCCGGCTTGCGCCGCTTATGTTCAGCCTGGGCCGGCTGGCCCGGCGCTGACGCAAGTTTTCAAGCACGGGCGACACAGCCTCCTGTTGCAGCGAGACACGGCCCTTAAGCACCCTTGCCCTGGCTGTCAAGAGCCAG